TCTCTCTCTCTCTCTCTCTCTCTCCCTCCCTCCCTCCCTCCCTCCCTCCCTACCTCTCCCCACCAGAAGGGATCTGACTGTTATTCAAGAAGGTCTCATTCCTGGCTCAAGCAATCCTGCCTCATTCTCTTGAGCGACTGTGACAAGGTCACTTAAGAAGGAAAAATCAGTCCACAGATCTAGTAGGCCTTGAGCGCTTCTCTTCTCCTTCTCTTCTTTTCCAGTCTATTTCTGTATGTTCAGGTTTTCTAGACATTTCATATGGCTTGTCTATACTATTTCTTATTGTGGTATGGAAGAGTTTCATGTCACAGTAGATGTGACACCTGTGAAGGAAACGTTGTGCTACTTCTGTTCTCTTGTGTCATCACCTTCTTTATATGTTCAAACTTTAGAACCAGTGTCCACGCAAAGAATTCTCCCAGCACAATGTGTTAGAAATGGTGACTAGTTGTAGAATTATACCTCTACGTTTAAAGATCTTTCTTTCTAATGACATTATACATTGTACAGTGCTGTATGTAAAGGGATTACAGTTTATCCCATACACAGTAAGTCTTTCCACAAATGCTGAGGGTTTTTCAAGAGCCTGGCTTTGTTGTGGGGGCTGCGCCTACCACGGAACTGTACCTGTCCCTTTGCAGCCCACTTTACATTTGGAGGAAGGTAAGGTAACTTGTAAAATGAAATTAATAAATGAGTGAATTTCAGGTATTTGTAAGAACTTCGAAGAAAACACAAGGAGAGGCTTCATATTAGAGTAGAAATTCAATCTTCATTTCAAAGGAACGTGGGAAAGGAGCCTGGAGTCAGGGAACAGCTTGCGCACACATTAGGAGATGAGAGTGAATGATGCAAAGAAAGAAAAAGAAAAAGGCCTTCCAGGCAGCGTAGATGTGGTAACAGCAACAGGGAAATTTGCTTCAAGGCTCATTTGTCTAGTAATGTGGACCAGGCAATCATAGTTTGAACTGATAATATTAAGTAAAAATTCAAATTGCAGTTTATCTTTTTTGATTGCCTAGAAAAGATAGGCTTGTTGGGAAAGCAAGACAGTTCATCAATTTCAGCATTTAAAAAACTTTTAAAAAATGTGTATGAGTGTTATATTTGCATGTATGTAAGTGTACCCATGTTGTGCAATGTCCACAGATGTCAGAAGAGGGCACGTTATCCTCTGGAACTGGAGTTATGAATGGTTGTTAGCCGCCATGTGTGTGCTAGAAACTGAACCCAGGTCTTCTGTAAAGCAGCCAGTGGTCTTAGCCACTGAGCAACCCCACCAGCCCCTCATTTCAGCATTTTATCCTATAGTATAAAAATACTCCTTTGCAGGCATTTTTTTAGAAAGTCATGATTTTGGGGGCTGGAGAGATGGCTCAGTGGTTAAGAGTACTGGATGCTCTTACAGAAGACCTGGGATCAATTCCCAGCACCAACGTGGTGGCTAACAACCATCCATAACTCCAGGGGATCTGATGCCCCTCTTTTGACCTTTGAGGACATTGCATGACACAAGTGCACTTACACACATGCAGGCAATACACTCATACACATAAAATAAAATAATAAATAAAATATCCGAAAAGTGACGGTTTCTGTCTTTTTATTTTCAGGACAGCTTGATGAATTTGGCTAAAGTGCACCACAGCCAAGTGGTGCAGTGTGTGACTGTTTCCTGTTATTCCACGGGCTTGAAACTGGATGTACATGTTTCTGTGGCTAGGGAAGGGAAGGGAAACAATCTCTTTTCTCTCCTCCCTTATCCCTGAGCAAGTACAGCTCAAGCCAATCCTACCAGAGCACCAGGGGCCGTGACCTGAACTCTAAATGAGCCTCTGGTTCTGCTGGTGACCCTCACTAACAGTGTTTCTAAGAGGAAATAACCCAAAGAAGCCATCATAGGAAATAGGTTCTACAGCGTAACCCATTTGAAATGGGAATCCTGGATATCTGCAAGAATTTCAATGAATTCTAATCCTTTATTTTTACGTATGTATACGTGTGTGGGTATGTGTATGCGTCTGTGCATGCACGTGCACATGCGGAGGCTAGAGGACATCCACAGGTGTCATCCTCAGGAAGGCCATCTACCTCCTTTGAGACAGGGTCTCTCACTGGCCTGGAGTTCATCAATTAGGCTAGACTATTGGCCAGTGAGCGTCTCCTCTCTCTGCCTCCAGAGCTGGCATCACACACTAACACAGAGGATATTTTTGTGTGAGTTCTGGGGATTGAACTCAGGTCCTCATGCTTGCAAGGCAAGTGCTTTATCGAATAAGCTATCCTGTTCC